CAGTCTAACAGAATAATTTTTGTGTACGACCTTCATACGCAGTTTTTCGCAATGGATGAAACATTAATCAAATTTATACGTTCACACCTATGATTCATAAACTACGGCGTATCGGACAAAATGCACAGCGGTTATAATCAAACTGAATGCGGTTTCCTCACCAGTTGAGCGTGTTAGTGTATACGCGATTCATGATCGTGGTACTACCATAATGGTTATTTGAATACATATTGCGTCCTTCGAACAATATTGGAGATCAAACTTCATCGCTCCCTTTTACGAAGTTTCCTTTATATAGAAATTAATTAACTGAGAACTGTAATATACCTACCTTTTGTCGTCACTTTTATACATACAATTCAACTTGTCCGAACAACGAAAAGGTAAAATAAATTCAAATGAAGAACTGTATTCTACAGTGCGTGGCATAACTATAAAATCACCCTACAAATTTCAATTCTTATGTGTTGTGAATGAAATAAAAACGAACCAGGTATGTCGTGTCTGAAATCGTGTGGAGGAATCATATTTCTTCGAAAAGGATAGATTATATTCCCCTAAATAAAAGTGGTCCGTTTTTATTTTAACCACAATATAATGAGGATTGAAAATTTTCGGGTGGTTTTATAGTTATACCACGCAGTGTATATATTACGTACGAATGCAATTCAAATTAAATCTTTAGAACCACGAAATTTATATAAAACATGTGTATATAATTTGTAATTTATTTACGGTATTATGACATTATAGCAAATAAAATAAAATCATAGTGTATACACATATACGTGTGCACATCTGCTTGGCAGAACTGAAAAAATCGACTTATTTAACATCTTATATTTTTTAAATGATTTATCCACTCCATCAATTTCACATGTACTATATGATATTTTAATTCTATAAGAATTTGTAGCATGGAATATAACAAATGATCAATTTGGTGTGAAATGGACTTCTAATATTTGTGGCACGAAATGATCTGTTCTAAAGTACTGAAAGTTTGTTCATTTTCTCTTAGCAGTTCGTACAGATATAGTTATAAATTATTAGAATTATTATTATTATGTTCCCTTTTAGTTTTTAAATATACACTTTAATCTTACACCAACCCTTGCATTTATTCCACAGCGTACATAATCTGAAATCGCAATCATCACACGAATATGAAATCGAAATCAAATCACATAATTTAGTGGTAGTGCTCCAATTATATTGAGATTTGTCGAAGAGTGGATTTTAGGAACAGTGAAGCTTGCTAATTACACGTTTCAGATAATGTGATCGCTCGGCACATACAGGGTGGGAAATTTACACAGAAACATGTAAATAATTCCACTGCTTATGATTACAGAAAAATTTTTAGAACAAAGTTGAAATGCTTGAAAGGATAAAGAAAATAGTGAAAATAAAAATTCTCTCGTGACTATTTGTTTTCAAAATTTCATAGTTGTTAATGATCTGTTTAATGGAATAATATATTTTGATCTCATGTTTACAGTTCGACCATTTAATCTACAAACTTCTTTAATCCGAAGAGAATTAATATTTCCTGACATTATTAGAAGCAAACCAATTTACATATTTATACCTTAATCTAAAAATCATATCGTATTTATTTTAGTAGGTATATTGCGTTTCAGTGACTACTGAATATTTAACATATGTATACAAAATTAATATAAAATTATGTGCACAAACAACGGAGATATTTAATTGTTCTTATTCAAATGCACCACCATATTTATTTATTCCCAGATTCATTAATAATAATTGCATACGTGTACAAATGGACCACCTGGTGTGTGATTGTTAAATACTTATACTCACAATCAATAGTTATACTCAGCGCGGACAGAAACAGAATGTAAAAGATTTTTCTGTACTAGAAATTTTTCTCCCATAAAGAGACAATATTTTAATTGATTAAATATTTTTATCCAATATTGTGTACAATAGTATAAAATGTTTTCGATAAAAGTATCTAAAATTTGGTACATGTATCAATCTCTTCTACCTAGAAACACAAGAGTTGACATTACACGTTCCATAAATGTGTACTTTCCTAAATTTACTACAAAGTTTGTTAAAAACACCTACCGACCGTAACAGTATTTATCAACAGTTACAGATACTCATTTGAAACGCTTAAATATTAAATTTCGAAGCATACATGCGTATATAATGTGTAACAATTACTAAAATTAAAATAAATCATTTAAATATAAAAAACCACAATATACAAATTGACAGAAGAAGTAAATTTTACCTATATCTTAATTTACACGGAAGATCAGTTCCTCAGAATACCATGTAAATCGGAATTATGGTTTTTTGTATGATAAACCGTGTAAATAGAAAAAGAACAAAATGCACAATAATTTAGTCAATTATTTAATTAAATTCATTTATTTCAACCTAAAAGAAAAGTAAAATATAAATCAAAATCTAAAAGTATCAGTTTATTCATGAAATAACAAATATATGTATAGAGCTATATATAATTCAAAAAGTACAACGATATGCACATTTCTGCTACTAAAGATTTACTGCGCTAATTAATATGAACGACTTTTGTGTTTAAAATAGGGGGGAATTCCCTTTTTTAGGTTTAATGCCATTGTTAACAAACGAACGGTACTAAAAAATGACTGTACAAATATGTGTGCAGCATAAATGTTTATTTTTAACAGTTTTTATTTTTGACAATTCGTTACTTTGAAAACCATACAAAAGCGGAATCGTGCAAAAAAAGTACAGTGTAGATGGGTGTACTAAATTCGGATCGTATGAAAATAAACGTTTTATTCAACAAAATCATTGCAACTTCAGTTATTGAGAGTAACATAGTTTTATATTTGTTGTATCACAGTTACAACGAAGTATAAAGCACGTTTTAGTTCGCATTTCTGTCGGCAAGGCCGATCAAGAAGCACGCAGAATGAAAGGACCTTTTTCTTAGAGCTCGTTAAAAAGTTCCACGGCTGAAATGGACCGCAGCGAGGCACTACGGAATTCCGGGGGATCCAGCAATCCCAAAGGAATCCCATTGCTCCCTTTACGCGAGTTTGCTGCATCGACACCTCCTTTTGAAGACACTAACGGGCAGCTCCCTGTTTTGTTCCTTCGCTATCAGTTCTTTAAGAAGAAAACATTCTTATCATTACATTCGCACCTTCTATGTATAATTATGCAGATCATTAAATTCTTGAATATCTTCCTACCATTGTGCCAGTTGGTGTCACAATTTTTAAGAATGTAGTGAATTCTGACTGAAGACAGTGTCCCAGGATTTACTTACCGAGGATTTATAGAGGAACTACTCAGGACTAGCAACGCGGTTATAAAGAGCATTTAACAATGATTCTGCGACCAATTCATCGCTTTTTCAACTACCTTCTGCCTGGCTCCGTGTTTCCCTTACTATCGATAATATTGAAAAAATTGTCACCTACAATCGGATAGCTTCATAATATGGTAAGGATAATAATCTACCACGAGATCGTCAAACCTTGATTTAGTAAAATCATTTATTTACTTACAACTAATTAATTACAAATTGTTTTTGCATTTATTTCGAGAACAAAATGAATTAACAGATTAATCAAAGTATTGTCCATCGCTGTTTACTACTTTTTCCCACCTCTCAGGCAATTTTCGAATTCCATCTCGAAAAAATATCTCGTCTTTTGAGGCGATCCAAGTTACAAGCCAATTTTCGATTTCTGCGAAAGAAGTGAATCTGTGACCTGCCAAATCGTGCTGCATCCGTCGGAACAACCAGTAATCAGAAGGAGCAATGTCCGGCGAGTACGGCGGGTGCGGTAAAATATCCCACTTGAGCGTTTCCAAATAATTTTTCACAACTTTTGCGACACGAGGCCGAGCGTTATCATGCAGAAGAATGACTTTGTCATGTCTCTGATCGTATTCCGGTCGTTTTTGTCGTAATGCACGGCTCAAACGAATCAATTGCAGCCTATACCGATGGCCCGTAATGGAATCGCCAGGTGGTAGCAACTCATAGTATACAACACCCTTTTGATCCCACCAGATACACAGCAGGACCTTCGAACCATGAATATTCGGTTTTGGTGTTGATGTTGAGGTCGATGGCAATGATTGACCTGGCATAGCGTAGTATTTTTTCTTCTTGGGGTTATCGTAGAATATCCATTTCTCATCCCCAGTCACAATCCGATGTAAAAAACCCTTTCTTTGTTGCCTTTGAATCAGCTGCTCGCAAGTGAAAAATCGCCTTTCAATGTCTCTCTGTTTCAGTTCATACGGCACCCAATTGCCTTGCTTGTGAATCATTCCCATGGATTTCAATCGTACGGAAACTGCTTGTTGGGTAACTCCCAATGATTCTGCAAGCTCCTCTTGAGTTTGACTCGGATCTTCATCGAGTAATGCCTCCAATTGTTTGTCTTCGAATTTTTTTGGCTGTCCAGAGCGCGGGGCTTGTCTTCAACGCTAAAATCACCATTCTTAAAGCGTCGAAACCATTCCCTACATGATTTATCAGTTGGAGCATTGTCACCATAGACTTCAACAAGCATTCGATGTGCTTCAGCTGCACTTTTCTTCCAATTAAAGCAGAAACCTAAAACCTCCCGGAAATGCTGCTTAGTTAACACAAAATTTGACATATTCAACAAAGTAAAAAACAGTGGTATTAAATGAAACTCAAAGCAATATAAACTGAATGTTATTGGCAGATATCTCAGAAACAATTGAAATCAGTTGTCACTATGAAACAGTCATAACAGCCAGAGCTATCTTTTGAAGACGGACCGAACTAATTTGTGCTCCCAATAAATTAGCAAATATTATTCTCATGACAATCCTGATACATTAATATATATGCATAATGCCCTACATATATACATTACATGTTGAAGCATCCAGCAATAAATTAACTTAAATTCAGCTTCGGTAAATCTAGACCATTAATGAATTTCAACAGTAGTTCATCAAAATTCTATGCACGTCCATGAATGGGCGATGACGATAAGAACGCAAAACGAAAACTGAAAAATCGTACGGTGAAAGTCGACCTCCAAAGATATAAGGACGAAGGACAACAGCTTACCTACATAGACGATACTTCCTGTACAAACGGAAAAGGCCAGGAACAGAGGAAGGAGAAGTTATTGATGGTCCCTGCTCTGTGGCATCGTTTATATCTTCCGCACGTACAGTCACCACTTGAAGTGAATACACAGATCGTGGGGCTCCCGCGCAAGAGATTCTCAGAAACCGAGTCCATATTTGTTCCTTCGCATCTATCATCTTTCCTTCTGTTTTCTTTTATTCCCCCGCACAACAACAGAGACGAGAATTGCCCACTTGTAGAAGAACAGAATTGATTCTTCCGGATTTCGTTCTGTTGTCCCGAAACGGAGGGGTGGGGACTTTAATCGCTTGGAATAATGGCATCTATGTTCCTTATTAAAGAACAAGTGAAACGGGGTACATACAGATATACGCGTTTGGACAGACACATACATATGTACGAATGCATATAAGATCGATGCACACGTGCACTTACTGACGAAGATTGAGGAACAAAACATTTTTTATATACATATCGTCGCTCCAGTTTTTAATTGTTCTACACTAAAAACCAAATAAGACCATAACTGCGAAATGACGAATTTCGGTCTTGTTTGCGCATATTCCTATCGGTTACCTTAGTTACCAACGTCTTAAACAATTGAGCATCAGTATGCCTCGTGTAGCATCATACATCGAGTGACTGTGAAGTACAAACGTGCCAATTCATAAGTATTCATGTCTTGAGAAATACTTCATTATGTCACCCGGTGAATGACAAATTCTATCGTCCCTGTTACAGAAAGCGAGAAAGTGGGGGAACCAAGGGTTCGAGAGACCTCTCATGCTCATTCGAGATGCGCGAAACAGTTATGCTCTTATTTGGCGTTTAGTGTATCTCCGTTAATTTCTAAACTGAGAAAACTGAGTTTAAAGTTTACAAAGTTCAATATCATAGAAGCAGGAACATAGTGAAATAATCAAACACTACAATATCATCTACTGAATAGCTATTTACTACAATATTCAACAAAATTTTATCTTATTATCAATATAAATATTTAGTTGTTGTTAGTATTTAGAGATACAACCATTAAGAAAAAAAACTTTCAAAGTTTCGGAGTTAAGACTTAGAAGAATATTTGTTGTTCTCAAAATTGAATTTTTTTTATACTATGGTGAATTTGTATTCTTTGGGCCAATGAAACGCACGTAGATTGATTAACTAAATTTGTTTGGAAAATGGAGTTAGAACAGTTAAGAACTCGAGCGACGATACGTAAACTACCGTTGGTAAATACATATTAGGATATCTGGTCAGTATGAAGATATTGTGATGTTTTGTGAAAATTATACAATGTATCCCACGCAACTGGGATATGCCATAACGTTAAAACGGTAGAAGATAGAAAAAATTTAATTAAGAAGAATTAAATGGTTTCAAATGATGCATCACACGGTGCATGTGTCTTCTCCGAAAGTGAAGGCACTTCAAATATTCCAAGGTCACCTCTATTTTTTTTTAAATATAACTATACATTTATAAGCACCATTTGATGCATTTTTTAATTTTCTATAAAAAAAACTGTTACGCTGCTTGGGTAAAAAAATGATTAGTTTACAAAATATTTTACTTCAGTTTCGCAACATTGTACAATATTTGGACACAAGCTTAAGCGTTTCTTAACTTTTAAACTAATCATTTTTCGACACAATTACCTTAAAACTTTTTTTATCGAAACTGAAAGTCCAGCCCAATAGACGTGTATCGGTGGTCACTGCCTTGCATACATTACGTTAAGAATTTCATTACCCTGTTCGTGTTAAACGCGAGTAACCCAGATTAGTTCCCATTCATGAAAATCATTCAGCGCCTCCGTCGCGTAGAAGTTCCGCATTCAGAGCAAGCGTATCATGAAACGTGAAAAATTCAACGGGATAGCACGAAATAGTGTTCGTGGCCAGACGTATTACCTTCGATTATCCACTTTGGAGCTTCAGACACATCAACGAGACAAAAGGTGAAAACTGGGCGGGGGTGGGGCGTGGAAAATCGATGAAAATGCGAATGTTTTTCGCCCCCTCCGAGTAACGCAGCTGGAACGAGTTATTTACGGTGCGCTGAGGATGATCGTGGAAATACAAATATTTCCCAGGGTGTAGCTTTCGATATGAAAATATTTTATGTCGCCGTGGATCTCGTTGTGATGCGGATGCGCGCCTGGCTTATAAACATTGTGCATACTGCAGTATACGTACACGTATGTATGTACAGGTAGATCTGGTTGTGCAGAGCATACGTGACCTCACGGTTTTCCGTAAGGTTCAGATGAGAATACACCTTCCTTGTGGCGGGCCCCGATGGCGTAACTATAACTTTCCCCGTAAAAGAATGCGGCAAAAAGGATCTTCGTTCCCTTCGCCAACTGGCATCATTCTAAGAATTCAATACGCATTTAGTTTCGATTTATTAAATTCTTGAGGGCATATAACCAACGCCTTGATACCGTGGAATTCCGTCGAAAAATATACACGAGGACTCGAAGCGGATTGTTACGGAATTTCTACGTCCGGAGATTTCCGCTTTGAAAACGGGCATTAGATATTTACTGTCTATCGTTTTCTGTAGGTTTTAGTTTCTCGTCTTACATGGGTTTTTAGGAAAATTTGAAATTTACATAAGTGCTAACAGTAATCTTGAAATGACAGTTACAACATGTGCCATTTAATCATGTATGGGAATTATAATTATTTTTATTGATGTAAGTATTTACGAACATACGAACATATTACACTTTTTAATGGTTTTTTGTAATCTAATGCTTTTAGTTTCAGCGAATACGATTATTCAATTAACAGATCACATTCGGTAATATTTTACATTGTTCTCTACAAAGAACTTAAATTATTTTGGTAGTATCACTTTTAATAAAACCGCCTACTTCTGGTTCTATAGCGGCTTGGAGAAGATATAACACCACAAAATTAATATGATCGAAAATAACTCTGACAATTTCTCACGTTGAAAATAAAATGGTGCAACTGAAAAGTCATAACATCGCAATTCCATTCGATATCCATAATCTTATATACTTGAAGTTGTTCCTAATTTAAAATACATACGTAGGAGAGACCAGGGACAAACGTAACACGGGACAAATGTAACAACTGTTATAAAACAAATGCCAATCGATCAACAGTCCCCTCCTCCCATCTTTATATTCAAATTCCACCTGTTCTCCACCTCAGTTGTCGTTAACATGCAGCAGCAAGCGATTTTCCTAATATAATACGACTACCCTATTGAAACAATATCTTACCAAAAGTAAGTTTGCATTATCTCTTTCAATTGGGTATCTTATTTCAGTTCCGTGAAATCCTCTGAAAGTCTTGTTATATTAAATAATTAATGTATCTTCAGATAGATATAACATTTTTCATGATAACAATTTAGGTTTGCATATAGTAACGTGTTTATAAGAGACTGCGCTAGTAGGGACAAAAATGACAAGCTGTTAAGAAGGCCATACATGGTGAGGTTTACCTCGAGGCCTGGCCTCATGATGAGGTCGCCTCCAATGCAATCTGTAGCGGGATGGTAAGAGCCGTGCCGAATGCATAGGCGAAGGTTCCTGAAGGGACCTTCGGGTGATGTGCGTAAGTGAGAAGGCTGAGAAAGAGTCACAAAGGGTGTGATGTGTGGAGTGCGACGAGAGCGAGCGACAGCAAAATGTGCATGTATCTATGGTTTGTTTTTCGAAAGAAAAGCCCTCGGGGGTCGCCCTGCCTGGGCGCGTGGCCTGGTGGGGACCCAACGCGAGCTGCGTATTTCGTGCGACGTTCCACGGTCTCAATGCCACTGTGTGTCTCTTTCCATCTTCCGGCACTCGGCACGGGAGCCTCTCGCTCAGACGCTCGGTAAACCAACTTCCTTCTTTACCCTGCGAGTTCCACATGTAGCGGTTAATAACCTACATATTAATTTAATCATCTTTTAATACGTTGCTCAATTCTTGGGTACAATACATTCTTTTAAAAGAAATAAACTTTTTCTTATTCATGTATTTTAACTCTTGACGTGTGAAAATGTTCAGCGTCTCGTCAACATTCTCCGCCATTTCCAGACAATGGATGAATGACGGGCGCGTGCCGAACGCAGTCCCCACTACTTGAAATTGTTGGTAGGTCCTTCTCGACAGGTTTGTATGTAATACCTGCGATGGAGACAGACGACCGTAGACGAGGACGCACGTCGACGGTTGAACGTCATTGGCCAAAACGCGAAGAGTGAGAGACACACAAGCGCCGAAGACGTGTCGCGATCGCGACAAGTCCCAAGGCTCTTCTTACGAAAAACAGACCGTAGCATTAATTTTCACTGAACTATTTCAGTTTAATTTAGAATTGTCCATGAAAGTGCCGTTTTTTGAAACCGAATATCCTACAGTAGTACGTATAGCTTCGAAGCAATGAAATATCATTTACAGAAATGTCTTGATAAGTGTAAATGCCTCGGTTTCGCGGAGTCACACTCATGAAAACACGCGGGGACAGTTGTCAGCACCTCGTCAGTTTTTTGTTCGAAGCTCGAGCCTTGGCCACTTGCCTTTGAACCCTTCCGACGTAGAAAAGGACAAACGACGTAGAGAACAGACAGAGAAAGCATCTCTTTCCACTCGATTCGATTGCGTGGCCCGCCTGCGACGCTCTCGCCGACCAAGGGTTACATTATAACCGACCACACAGTCCGATTGTGTGTACCGTTTCGGAACATAATAATAAGACGTCTGGATGGAGGTGATCCAGCTACATTTTATTCGTCGACAGCTCTCTGGGCAGTCGCTGACGACTGAACGCTTCGACTAATCGTCATACATTCCCCCGCTTCGTCCGCCGAGTCCCTTGAGCGCATACATTGTTGCACGGCGCGCCGAGACGGCTTCTCATTCACGAGCCAAAAAAGATTACATTCCCGGGTATTGGCGAGACAACGCTTACTAGTATATTGATGAGATTTTTCTGATTTGGATCATATTTACTCATGTAGAATGTTAACACTTCATATTTGTTCATTATCGTTTCTGATAAATCATAAGTAAATATGGTCCAAATTATATCGTGTTTGGTATCATTTTAATCAGAAAAATTTCACGAATAT